AAACTCCCAAAATTCAGCTCTCTTCCCCTCTCTGTTTTTCCTCCCTGTTCTCCATTTTGGAGCTTCCATTCTTGGTAGTTATTATTGTCTTACCTGCTTGAAACAGGAAGCATGTGTGCTTTGATAAATGGGCTGAGGAGTGATCTACTTTCTCCTCACCGTCCTTTAAGGTCTCCAAACTTTTCTAGGAAATATAATACAATTTGGTAAACCTCTCTGGCAAAGCATAAAGCTGGAGAAAGTATTTTGCTGAGAGGTTAAAAATGACTATCCTTCTTTTTTTTTTTCTTTGATTAAATAGGCCTCCTGTAAGCCTGGAGTAGAGTGTGCGTCTTCTAAATTCTCATGCCTGCACACTCTAAGGAGACTTTACTGCTGTGTGATGAGGCCCTTAAGTAAAGAGGAGGCTTAATGTAGGAATCTCATGACCCCTGTATGTTCTGCTTAGCTTTAATTGTCAACTGGACTCAGCTTAGAGTCATCTGAAAGGAAAGCCTTGATGGAGAAATTGCCTGAATTGGTTTGGCCTGTAAGCATATCTGATGTGGACTATCTTAGTTGCTAATTGATGTGGGAGGATCCAGCCCACTGTGGGCAGCACCATGCCCTGGGCAGGGGCAGAGTGGTGGCAGTGGTGGTGCTGGCTGTGTAAGAAGCTAGGTAATCTTGAGTCTGCCTACCCATCATGCAGCTTGCTTTCTTCATGGTTTCTGCTCTGAGTTCCTGCCCTGACAGTCGTCAGTGACAGACTGTGACCTGTAAGTTGAAATAAATCATTCTCCCCTGACAAACTTTTGGTCACCGTCTTTGTCACAGCAACAGGATGGAACTGGAACAACATATATGCAAAGAGACTTATAGAATGAAAATAAGCTAAGCTTAGCAAAACACTAACGCTCACTCTGTGGTCAGGTTTCATGGGATCCTCCCTGACTATGTGAACCTTTCCTGAAAAGCTGATAGAATGTCTGAAGTTCCACCACAGTACTTCAGTTATGATCTGAGGAGACAGTATCTCAATATATCCTTGTATAAGTTCAAGCATCTGCAGTTCCCCGTGATGATGGTACCTTAATTCCTAAAAGATATTCCCATGAAGGGTTTTATATCACCAACCAGGATGCAATCTTATGTCTTCTCTGAGTCAATGTCCCTATGTCTCCACTAATGATGTCCATCTGTGAGAGACCGCTTTTGTCACATGTTACATGATTTATGTGATGCATATGTTGCTTTGTATCCCAGTGTACCTTGCTCATGTTGGCAATATAAGTTTCATTCTCTGGGGCCTGACCCACTCCCTATTGGTTTGGTAGTATACCAATTCATCCATGTAAGTTATCCCCTATAGACACTCAGAGTAGAGTTGCACTTCCCAACAGGAAGGATGAGTCAAAAATGCGGTAAAGCTAGAAATATTTTATGATGATGTTTTCATTTTGAGACTAGAATTTGCATATGGTAATAGAGGTACTAAGAAGTGGGGAACCGGGAGCTGGGGAGATGGAGAAGTGGCTCAGCGGGTAAAGAGCTGCTCACCACATGAGTCTGAGGACCTGAGTTCAGATCTCTAGCACTCAGGTAAATGTCAGGCGGGTGTAGCAGCCCACCTGTGTGTGATCTCAGTGGTCAGGATGTGGGAATGAGATCTTGAAGGGCAACCCTGTTAACTAGACTAGCTGAGTCAGCAAGCTACAGTTCAAGTAAGAGACCCTGTTTCCATAGATTAGGTTAAAAATGATCGACTAAACTGCCTCACATCAACTTCTGGCTTCCACACACACTCACACACCATGCACAAACATGTGAACATGCATAAACTATCATGTACTCTATAAACTATGAAAACCTAGGGCTGGAAAGATGGATCAGTGGTTAAGACCATACACAGCTCTTGCTTAGTTCAGTTCCCAGAACCCATGGTGGGTGTGGCTCACAACAGCCTACAACTCTATCCTCAAAGGATCAGACCCCTTCATCTGGCCTCCACAGGCACCTGCACACTTGTGAACATATCCCTGTGCAGAAATGTATGCGGAAACATAATTTAAAAGAAACATGAACCTTTGAGAAATAAGGAAATTAAGACTTAGAGGTGTAGTTCTGTGAAACAGCAGTTGCATGGTATGCTTACATCCCGAGTCCCACCCCAAGCACAGCAAAGAAAAAGAAATGGACAAATGTATCCGTGTTATGAATGGATTGAAGCAGATTGAGTGGGACATGCCCATGGGATGCCACGTGAGGATGCTCACCCTGCAGCGTCAGAACACTGGGGTGATGAGAAGTTTTCAGATTCAGAGGCTCTCTCCAGGATGAGGCCTGATAGACCAGTAAGGTCAAAAAAAAAAAGAAAGAAAGAAAGAAAGAAAAAGAGACATGAAGAGCCAGTCCATTACAACAGCAGGCCCTTAAAGGACTCTGGGAATATTCAGAGTGAATCAAGGAAAGAGACAAGCTGTCCGAAGTTAAACAGCTCAGGGCACTCCAGTGGCACCAGGGCCACAGAGGGAGCCCATGACCAATAAGTGCAGGAGTGACTAAAGCTGGCTTGCTTGGTTTAGGATTTAAGAGACAATGATTTATCTTTGAAAGACTAAACTCCTTCAGAGGTAACGGAGGCAGGAGGTGAGCTGCAGCCATAGCGTGAGAAAACGATCTGCACTAGCATTGTCTGTGCAGATAGCTGTGTGTGTGCTGGAGGCGCTACGTGCCTGGAGTGCTAAATCGTGATGGTAAATGTGTGAGGTAAATACCACACTGTCCCACCACACACAACACTCTTAGGGCCTCTTCTTCAAGACAGAGATTATTATCCATGTAGATTTGTGAAGACGAAGGCACAGAAGTCTGAGCAGCTCTCTCAGGCCCATGCAGTTCATCAGGCTTCATGCCCAGGCACTCCGACCTGAGCAGCCCTCTGGCTCCTTGCTACGTGATATGGATGAATGTAAGATTGTGTTGGCATGGATGGATTGAGAAGCAACTTCATAAAAATACAGAACTCAGAACAGGGATCATAGATACTGAGATATGCAAGAGGAAATGGCAGTCCCAATGGCGGGATTGGGAGACAGAGGGAAAGTAGAGGCTCGCTACAGAGTAGTTTCAAAATTAGGAAGACCCCAACATGTAATACAGTGTGTGTGTGTGTGTGCGTGTGTGTGTGTGTGTGTGTGCACGCGTGCGTGTGTGTGCGTGTGTGTGTGTGCGTGTGTGTGTGTGTGTGTGCACGCGTGCGTGTGTGTGCGTGTGTGCGTGTGTGCGTGTGTGTGTGTGTGTGCACGCGTGCGTGTGTGTGCGTGTGTGCGTGCGTGTGCATGCGTGCGTGTGTGTGTGTGTGTGTGTGTGTGTGTGTGTGTGTGTGTGCATGCGCGCTCTCTAGCTTGCTGCCTTTGGCCACAGACTGTGAAGAGGGTGCCAGGTGGTTGGGTACTTTGCAGTAGACGCACTGTAGGGAGTTACCTGTGTAGCCACTGAGGTGAAGACGGAAGGAGAGCACTAAGGATCATGGGTAAGGATGAGAGGTGAGAGCAAACCACAGCTTACTGTCTTTGCTCATCCCTTCTTTTCATTCTTCCCAGTCACTAAATCCTCTGTGGGGAGGATGGACACAGATGCACATCTGTTGACATTTGTACTTGACTCAGGCTGAGGACGTAACTCAGCAGTGGCACATGTTTGTAATCCCGAGCTGGGGAGGCTGAGACGGGAGGTGGGAAGTGGTTTGAAGGTCCTTGGCCAGGTAGTCCAACCTAATTGGCAAGTTCAGGTAAATGAGAAACATTTTTTCAAAAATCTAGGTGAGAACAGCTAAGACCTCTGACCTTCACAAGCACACATACGTGTGCACACACATACACAAACACACATGCACACACATATACACAAATACACATGCACACAAACCACATGCACACATGTACACACACATGCACATACACACACATGAATGTATAAATACAAATAATAAAGTGCTTAAAGGGTGAAATCTCTCACCAGTATTGCTACCTTGAGACAGTAATGTGTTCTCTGGGTTACCGAAGGCTTAATCAATGAGGGACATAAAGAGTGGACTATCTTTTTTGCAAGAATGATAACAGTCTACCGTTCTGATCAAAGCTTGTTCAGTGGGAGAAAACCAGAGAAAATGCTTACATTATGTGTCTGAAACTTCTTTAATTTATAGGACTCACCTATGCATTAAAGAGTTTCTCTTTGGTTATGGACATCAGTAGGCAAAAAATGTTTCCATGTCTGGGTACTTTCAATTGCTGAACAAATCTTACATGTCTCCCGTGAAGCCTGGTTAATTCAATACCTCCCTATGTGATGCTTCCATTTGAGACAGGTGTCTTAATTAAATAAACTAATAATTTCACAAGTAGAAGTACAAAAGCATAATTATCCAATTTGCTAATTGTTCCATTGTGTGAATTTGCATACTTCTTGCTTACCATACAAACAGTTTGTCTCGGTGTATCCTACCAAGGAAATAATGGAGCCCCTCTTGGGAGGAGCATTTTCTAAAGTGTGTTCACAAACACTGCACGAGGGCTCCTTAGTTAAAATGTTTGAAAAATGTCAGGTTCAAGCAAATTGAATGGTTAGTATTTCTGTGGGAGGTCCAGGCCCTGTAATGAAGTCCTACACATTATACAAGTATGGGCGCTCTGCATCATGAGCATCAAATACTGTCTTAGTGCTGTCATGGCAGAGTGGGTGTCGTGCTTTTGTTCATGAACCCTCTTCTATACTCAGCAAATGTTTTCTCACTGGGTACGTGAGAAAGCAAATGAAAGCTATGGATTGTGGTTTTGCACCTCTCTGTCACTGTATCTATCTGTGTCCTGTTCTTTTTCTCTGAGTTTCTCTCACTCTTCACACACACACACACACACACACACACACACACACACACACACACACGTGCTCACAGGGAGTTCTTTGTAGACACTACAGCAAACTTACAAATCTTTTGTGTCCCCCTTTTATCCTAGGCATACTGACAGGACTGCGTCCCTTCCAGAGCTATGCCGTAACTCTGACTGCTTGTTCTCAGGCGGGCTGTACTGAGAGCTCACATGCTTTGAGCATCTCTACTCCACAAGAAGGTAAAGTAATTTCAAAGGTCTTGACTTCCACATTTCAGTCATGAATAATAAAATAGGAGAAGAGCTAAATGCTGCGAGGCCATTTGCTGGAAAACCCCGACCTAATTTGATGACAAAGTGCATTGCCAGGCCATAATTGCTCCCATTTTTTGGGGGGGTGCGAAAATGAATCAAACTCCATAGCCTTTAATGACATGCATCTTTAATAGCTGTAATGCAGATTAATGGGCTTTTTAATTGCTGTTACATTGTTCATGCAAGAGCCTTGTCATTAATATGAAGCATCTGAAAGATTAATGAAAGCTTCCTCATTTTACTATGGCTCAGAAGTAAATCTAGAGACAGTCTGACTAAAAAGAATTGATTGTATGGCACAGTATGAAATTGAGAATCAAACGGTTGATTTCCATGGTCTCTTTTAACTGCTAAACACCAGCATGGGCAACAATGATTCCAGGAGGGCAGAGCTTCCAGATGCCAGTTGAGGCACGATCCATCACTTGTGCCTTCTTCCTACGTGAGGCTCACTTCTGTTGTACCTGGGATGTGCAAATGGTTGGTCTAAATTAATGTTTCAGAAAACATACATTAGGATGGCAGTGGGGAAGAGAAAAACATTCCGGGACTCCAAACACATCTCTTTAGGAAATACCAGCTCTCAGAATGCTAAAAGGGTGGTCACTTTGTATTTCTTTCTCCTGTGAGCTGCCTAGTAGGAAAGTTATTTAGATTTGAAAGCCTGGTCTTTACAGCAAAAGTCAGTCAACAACACATGCTTGCTTGGCCTGGCTATCTCTCTCTCTCTCTCTCTCTCTCTCTCTCTCTCTCTCTCTCTCTCTCTCTCTCTCTCTCTCTCTCCTTCCTTCCCTCCTTCTCTCCCTTTCTCCCTTTCTCTATCTTTCTCCCTCCATCTCTCTCTCCCTCCCTCCCTCTCTTTCTCTCTTTCTTCTCCCCCTCCCTCCCTCTCTTTCCCTCTCTCTCTTCCTCCCTCCCAGTATACATGCTTCCCTAAAACCTCCTTTGTGCCCCTTTCACCTTCTACATCTTTTTGCAAACACCATTTGCATAGGAAATATGTTAAAAAGAGAACCACAGAGAGAGAGAGAGAAGGCAGGCAGAAGCCAATATGATGACATGGTGATGAGATACAGGATTTTGTAAAATCCCTCTTGAGACCCTTGATTCTCTATTTTATACCTGCTATGGACCAGAGCCCACTCCCTCATCTGGGTCGCCAGTGAAACATCATCATCCTTTCTCAACACCATCCCAATCTAATCTACTGAAATGGCGTTGTTTCTCTCAGTGTGAGCTTGGGTCTTCTGGGGCACACCATTATCATCCTGGTTTGGACTCATTTCCGCCAACCTTCATCTAGGAACGCTCATGTTGCTTCTTCTCCACCCTCTTGTCTAGACTTTGCCTGGTACCCCTCACAACCATTTTACCAAACAATTGTCCGCTCATCTGCCTCAGTCCCCTTGTCATTATGTGTATAATCCCAAATCTCTTTTCCAAGGAGCCATGTCTAATATACAGAATGATATTTCTGTTTCTGGTTAGTTTTAGTTTTGCTCTGTTTTTTCTGTGATTTCAATTTATTCGCTAGTGTGAAAATAGGCTTTTTTCAACAACTACTGTGTAGTTTCAGTATACAATTGATTTAAATGTCCATGTTCTGGCCATTCCTGTAGGTGGAGAGTTTTTAGAACATCCCAGTTAGGAAACATTCACCGTGTTGCTCATTTCAAATCCTGTGCTCTGCCAGGCCAGCACACATTGTTTCATCTGCTTTAACAGGTTCAGCCCCACGAGGACATGATGGGTTAACAATACTTTTGATGAAGTAACACAAACGTCAGTCAAGGGAACTAGAGTAAGGACTCCCCATCTATCACAGATGCAAATTCTCAGGAATTCAGGACAGTTATTTAGCGCTGTTCCTAAAGCAATTACTGACAAGCTGCCTGCGAGTCAGAAACACCTCCATGCATGGGACTACAGTTTTAGCCCATGATTTATTGGTTTGGGTCTGAAAAGTTTTACTTAGAAAAGTAAACTAAAATTAGACTATTTTATTTTCCCACAGCACCCCAAGAAGTTCAGACACCAGTGGCCTCGTCCCTTCCCAACTCCTTGTCATTATCCTGGAGTCCACCCAAACAAGCAAATGGGATTATTACTCAGTACTCCTTATTCGTGGATGGGAGGCTGGTCTACACAGGCAAGGGACAGAACTACACAGTCACAGGTGGGCCTTCTGTTATGACCAGGTAATAGATTCATAAATGTGTTTTCTAGATGACCACTGCATAAATTTATCTGAATCGGGTGAGTGATTTTTGCCTCTTTGAGACATCAAGGTGTAGTTGGAAATTTCTCTGGTCCCACCTGGCCCCACGGTCCTGCAGCTGCTTGTAAAATAATCACTCAAAGGTTAATATTAATTACCAACTGTTTGGCCTATGGCAGGCTTTTGGCTAGCTAGCTTTAATCTTAGATTAACCCATTTCTATTCATCTATATTTTGCCGCGTGGCCGTGGCTTTACCTGCGTCCCATTACATGTTGCTCCTTGGACAGCAGTTTGGTGTCTCTTCCCACTCTCCTTTCTCCTCTCATGATCTCTCTTGGATTTTCCCAACTGGCTCCATCCTGCCCTGCCATAGGCCAACACAGCTTTATTTACTAACCAATGGGAACAGCATATATTCACAGTGTACAGAAAGACATTCCACAGCATCAAGGGAACCTTGGGACTCTACTAGCCCAGACCTTTCTGGATGCCACAGACCATGTGTTTGAAGCCAACTGTCAGTGTAGCCCCCATGCACATGGGCTCTGTGAGCTGACTAAACCGGTGACATCCTTAAAGAGCCCCATGGTCACATGACTAACTGTTTGAAATCTGCCTGCATGAGAAATAATTGAAGATGCAGAAAGATGACTCAGTGTGGTACAAATATTAAACCATTTGAGAAGGAACGCATAGGTCCAGATTACACGACACCTAAGCAAAATGAAATTGTCAAAAGATCTCTAAATGTTAGTGCCATCTGGTATTTGCGGTGTTTTTTGGCCACATGGTATTTGCTCATGCTGGTTATGTGTTTCTATTGTTGCATGTGCTGTGCCAGACTCCCCGGGACACAGAATTACTTACATGTTGATTGATTTGAAAACTGAGTCCTAGAGATACTAAGGCTTTGCGAAAGGTTATAACGAGTTAGAGTCAAAGATAGAATTAATTATTCAAGGGTTCACTCATTCACATGAATGCCGGGTACTAAGATGACAAAGCGAACCAGCATGTGCCTCCTTTCCTGCTGACCCTGGCTTCCTGGGACACATTCAGAGAGCAGCGCAAGGCACTGCTGGGCGGTTGTAGTCTCCTTTATGTGTTTGTCTCCTTTTTATTCTGAGACCATAAAGTGGACAAGAACTAGGACCTCTGTATTTCATTCAGGATTAGATGGACATCTGTGATGTTTGTTCCACAAGGTAGATGTTGTGCCCACTTTACAGGGAAGGAAACTGAAATATGACTGGATCAAAGTTGCACAGGCTGTGAGCCACAGACATTGGTACTGACCTAAGCATTCTAGCTAGTTGAAGACTATGGGCTTACATGATATCTTCTCTGAAACTTAATCCCTGAATCTACAACATGAGCATGATGGGGAATCTCCACTGTCAGCTTGACTGGATTTAGAATCGCCTAGGCAACACAGCACTAGGTGTATCTGTGAAGGCTTGAGGAAAGATTTAACTGAGAGAGGAAAAACAAACATGAATGTAGGTATGTGTGTTCCATAGGCGGACACCCCAGACTCAATAAAAAACAAGAGAGGAAAAAGCCAGATGAACGCCTGCCTTCCTCTCTGTTTTCTGATGTCAGCACAAGCTGCCTGACATTTCTTCTTCCACGCCTCCCCTGCAGTGGTGACCAGTGCACCCCGTGCTTCCATGCCTCCCCTGCAGTGGTGACCTGTCCACCCCATGCTTCCACGCCTACCCTGCGGTGGTGACCTGTCCACCCCGTACTTCCACCCCCAGCAATGATCCAAGATACACCCTTTCTTCCTTAAGACTCTTTTGTCAAGAATTCTGTCCCGGAATGAGAAAAGGAACTAATACAGTGGGAATAATGACATTTGAACATTTTGAAGGAAGTAGACAGTAGAAAACACAGAACACGTTGTTTCTTCTTGTAGAGCAAAGTTGTAATTATTAGCCAGATCTTTGCCTATAGTCTTTGGAAAGCTCAAGCAGAGGGATTGAAATTCAAGGCCAGTATCTTATGTGGTAAGTTTGAGGCCTCCCTGGGCTATATGTCTGGAGGCCCTGTCTCAAAAAGACTTATAAGAAAAAATAAAAGGCACAATTATCATTTCCTTTAAGATACAGAGTTCATAGTACAAACTAAATAAAGGAATATTCATAAAGTTGAGTTGATGATGGTGCTGGAGAGATGGCTTAGCAGTTAAAAGCACTGGCTGCTCTCGAAGAGGACCTAGTTCAGTTCTCTCAGCACCCACACGCTGCTTACAATAATCTATGACTCAAAATCCAAGGTACCTTCTTCCTCAGGCACCAGGTACGCACATGGTATACACATATGCAACTCACATGCATAAAATAATGATAAATAAATCATTTTTAAAAGATTGAACTGATGACATTATTTCAATTGGCATATATAGACAACAGAAAATGTTTCATAAATGATAATTATTAAAACACACCAGAGAATTTTATACATGTATTAATGCACAGGGCACTCTTTTAAGAGCAAAATATACTGTTGCTCATAAAGGGAAACCAAACATTCTGTCCCTAAGAGTCATTCCCTGAAGGAACCCTTCTCTTGATTCCGGAGCTACCAAATACCTTTATAGCCCCCTCAATGGTTTTTAAAAAGTTTTTGTAGGCTTTTTCCCCCTATTATCTTGGATAATTACTTTTTCTCCTCCTAAATTGTAAGAGCAAGAGGATATGAGCGTGTCTGTTTTATTCATTACTGCGTGTCCAAAACCTAGTGCAGACTGGGTAACAACTCAGCAGTGCTAGAGGAATGAGGGAGTAGTTGCCTGACTCTTGGGAATAAAGTGGATGGGAAGGACTGTGGTTCGGTTGGTTAAAGTGCTTGCCTGATGAGCTGACGATGGTTCTGGGCTCAATTCCCAGCACCACTTCAACCAGAAATTCTGGTACGCACCTGAAATTCTTACAAGCAGGGGATAGAAGCACGGGGGTCAGACATTCAAGGTCAGCTGAGTTTGAGGCTAAACTAGACGGCAAGTGGTCCCATTGCAAATGAAAAAAGAAGAGGAGGAAGTATGAAGGTGGAGCTAATGGAGAGTAGATACACAGGGCTAGGAAATAAAAGGAGGGGGGTGTTCAGCCAGACATCACATGTTTAAGATTCATGTGCAACAGCATGGATTGGTTCACTACGGAGAGGAGCCATGCCTTGTGCTAAAGGTCAGACTAGAAGATGAATCTGATTCTTCTAATTTTTTTAACATTTATTTTTCGTTAGTTCTTTGAGAATTTCATACCTGTCTTAACCATGTTCATTCCCCTCTCCCTTCTCTTCCTGATGCATCCACTCTTCCTTACCACTCAAATCTGTGAATCCCACTCTCTGTCTCTTTCGTAAACCTTCAAAACCGATTTTTGCTATTCAAATGTTCTTGGATGTGTGGTCTTCTATTGGAATGTGGTCAGCTAACCAGAGCACACTCTCTTAGAGAAAACTGTCTCTTGCTGTCCCAGAAGCTATCAGATGCCAATAACTATTTGGCTTGGGGTAGGGTAGTATGTCCAGCTCCCCTCTCTATGATATGATTCTGTCTGGCTTGGGCTTGCACAGGCCTTGTGCATGCTGTGAAATCGCTGTGGGTTCATGTGTGCACAGTCTCTTCTGTGTCCAGAAGATGATGTTTTCTTGTAGGCATCCACCACCTCTGGCTATTATGTTATTTCTCTCCTTTCTTCCAAAATAATTCCTGAGCCTTGGGAGGAGGGGTGAAGTATATATGTCCCATTAGGGCTGAACATTATACAGTCTCTTATTTTCTGTACTGTGGCCAGCTATAGGTCACTCTGTGTATCACCATCTGCAGATAGTGGCTTCTCGGGTGCAGTATGAGAGATGCACTGATCTGTGGGTACAATGATAGGTCATTAGAAGTTGGTTGAATGCTATGTCCATATAGCAGGTCTGTAGTGAAAGGTTCCCCTAGGGCCTGTGACCTGTCTTGCCATAGGTTCTTCACCTGATAATGCTGTCAGGAATGAGTTTCATCTTACAGAGGAGCACACTTTTGGCTGCATACAAAAAGCACACCTCAGGATCAACAATAGCCCCTACCTTAGGGTACCAGGTTGGAAGAGTATTCAAAAAAATGGAACCAAGAAGCAAACATCACCAATAGCTGACAAAATTTCTCCAACCAAAACCAAAAACAGCCGGGCGGTGGTGGCGCACACCTTTAATCCCAGCACTCGGGAGGCAGAGGCAGGCGGATCTTTGTGAGTTCGAGGCCAGCCTGGTCTACAGAGCGAGATCCAGGAAAAGCACAAAGCTACACAGAGAAACCCTGTCTCAAAAAAACAAAACAAAAACAAGCAAGCAACACCAACAAAAGAGTTTCCGAAGACATGAGGAAGGACACTCATATTCCTCTAATCTTATAGTTAGCAAAACTGAGGCATAGCCAGACCAAGAAAGTCAGTAATTGGATAAACCAAATTAAATGTGGGTCTACATGGTACTAAAGTACATGCCTGGCGTGTGAGGCTGTCAGAAGAGGGTGTTGGATCCCCTGGAACTGGAGTTACAGATGGTTTCAAGCCATCATGTAGGTGCTGAGAATTGAACCCAGGTCCTTTGAAAGAGCAACCAGCACTCTTACCCACCGAGCCAGCTGCCTTTCACTGTTTCAGAGTATTTTAATGACACACTTCATCTAGGATATTTATATGAGCACATACAAGCATATAAACACGTGTTGTGATAAATACTACACGTAAATATTGATCTGCTATGTTTTAAAAGGGGAAAAGTGAATCAAAGGTCATTAACTTTTTTGACAATTTTATACTTCTATACAATATATTATGCTTGCTCATCCTCCCCCCTGCTGCCTAGCTGACGTCCTTCTTCCTCTTCTCCCATTTTTATGTCTCTCCTTTGGCTTTTACTTTTGCAAACTTGTTGGTCTACATTGTCACTTGACTGCCCAAG